GTGGTTACAACACTAAGTATTTTCATTATTAACTTAGAAGGTCCAAGTTAGGCGAAGAATTTAATTAAAGATTCTTTTTTGGTGCAGATTTTGTGGTTCGTAAAATATTTGGGTTATGAAGTAAGGAATGATTAACGAGCTACCTACGTGTGGTATTATTTATCTTTCGTGGAAGATTGTTGCTTCCGAATTTTGTGTTTAAATATGGGTTCCTTAGAGTTTTATTTTGTTTGGTTTGAAGGTGATTGATTGTGAGTTAGATTTACTTTGGTCCTATGTTATAGAAGGCAAGTGTACCTGGTTCTTTACTTCTGGATTCTGCTACTAATGTGAATTTTCAGAAACAATATTTAAGGCGTATAGTACCCTTAATAACCTCGAGCATGCTAACGCACGACTGGCGCCTTTGTAAAATATTGACTGATTTACATGAGTGCTTCCCACTTTATAGTAAAATTTAAAATGACTTGAATTATTCAAAAATAAATAAATAAATAAAGCAAGCCATTTAGAAGGAATTGGCATTTTTTGACACAGTTTTTTGTTTACAATAAACATATTTTTTTTAAATCTTTACTTAAATGAGGGATAGGCTTAAGAATGTACTTACCGTTTTTACGGTTTAAAAGGCGCCTCGGTTCTTAATTGTTTAGTTTAGTAGCAAGCTACTGACGACGGACATCTACAACTTTAAAGAATTTAGGAGTTTGGCCAGGTTTGGGCATCAGAGATGGGATAAAAACATGAAACTAATTTTGGATACATTGGTTTGGTCACTTTGTTTCAAGATTCATACTTGAATATGTACTATATAAACTTAACAAGCAATTTATTTCAAAATTAAAATCAGTTACTCCAACTTAACCATAAACATGTACTTTTGGAACGTAAAAATAGAATATGATCTGTCAGTCAGATCGTCACTGAAATTCCCGTACCAAAATATAGATTCGAATGGAGAAGAACGTGCAAGAAACTGTGTTTCACACCGGTTTTCTGACCCCGTCGCATCACTCCAGTCGAGTCGTCTCAATCGTGCTATGGATCTTTCACACTTAAAATCCAAACTAAGATTATTAATGCGAAAGGGACTCTGTCTGTTTGTCGGTCTGTCTGTCTGTCTTTTCTTGACGCCTAAACTACTGAATCTATTTGTCGAGAAATGACATAGGATAGTTTTTAAACCAAAAATCTGCAGGAAGCACTATTCCACGCGAACAAAGTCGCGGGCAAAAGATAGTAGCTAATAAAACATTACTCGACTTTGCTGGCATATATGTTGATTTATTTATTCAGAATTGAAATTGAAATTGGATGGGTCCGTAAAAATGGTCGACGCACGGTACATATTTGAGTTCACCATCCTAGCTTCGTATTTGACTAACAAATTCTCCTATTGTTTGTCTAGAATCAATTGTTTGTTTCAGTCGTTAACAAGAGGCCATCTTGCTTCTAGATTTTTTGTACAAAAACTTTTTTGTGACCCCAAAAATTGAATAACTTTTGGGACCTTTTCGTATTATTCTGTTTGAATGTTAAGTTGTGACTTGCGAAGGGTGCTCTGTGATTATAATATTATAATATTTTTAGTCTCTTTTATTCAATACGTTTGTCGCTTTAAGCGCAATTTTAATGGGCATCCTTTATTAAGAATACGTACTTACTGTTATTGTGATACGAAAAAAGTGTGTCAATCCTATAAAATACCTCGGTCATATAAATAGGAATAATTCTATAAAACCAATTAAAGATAATCTCATTTCCATAAAAAAAAAATCTACCCCGAAGACGCAGAAAAATATAAGAAAACTTCTAGAGAAAAAGATAAAATAGGAGAAATGTGATGTCAAAAAAAAAAAACAATGTTCTTTTTGATTGTTATAAAATCCTAAACAGAATGACTACGTAGTATACATTAAAATTGCTTTCTCTGTTCCTATGTGTGCTTCCACCACGGCTTCAGAGAAAACCGGCGTAAAACAACGACAGCGTTGTATCGCCATGTGAGTAATGTTATCAGAGGCCCAATCCCTCCTCTCTCCCCTTCCCAATCCTTAAATATCCGAAACTCTTATCCCCAAAAGGCCGGCAACGCCCTCGTAACTCCTTTGGTGTTGCAGATGTCCATAGGCAGGGAAAATTGTTTACCATCAGGAAATCTATATGCTAGTTTGCCGACGAAGTTTTATGTGTATTATAACATAGGAGAAATTAAGTATCAGCACACGAGACCGAGCGGGTCGCTAGTATATTATCAGACAATACATTTTATTATCTTTCCCCACATTATTGTTAACATACAGTATATAATAAATTCTAATATTGACCGTTACAATTTGTTTATCATTCAAGAGCGTATAATTATAGGATACACTCATATTTTATTATCTGTTTACATTAAAGTTCATTCCATTCATAATAAAGTAGCTATGAAATAATTTATAGCGTTGGGGCGCAGCTTCTGACTGACTGATTAAAAGTAGTCTATTTTTTATTCCAAAATATAATCTATCTTTGTGATTGTTAGATGACATATGTAAATACACTTTTCCAATCTTTATTTGTAGGCCGTAGCAAAAATTTTTTTTTTCAAGTTTACCTCAAAATATGTTTCATTTTAATCCATTCATTATTTATCGAGATTAGCGTGTGAAAACAGAGAAATATTAACAATTTACAGTTTCTTTTCCACATATTTTGTTTGCTTAAAAGTATCTTAATACCTATACACATAACACCTTTTTTGTGAGAGGAAAATCATCAAATGACTTCTCCTGTCCAGGGTAAGGCGAGAGAGAGTGTCAGACTCTTACTGACTAAAAACCCCCCTGTTCCTTCTTCTGCTCGGGGCCGAGGTCGCGATGTCTCATTGCGCTTAACCCGCAACCCCGACTGAACATCAGCCCTATAGTGGCCTGTCTCTGGGGGTCTATTGGCTCTTTGAGGCATACACATAACACCTTCTGTTACATTATGGAATGCAATAAACATATGAGTATGAGTTTATTTATTTTGATGTAGCTACAGTTAGTATTTTACTGAGAATTTTAAGGTATTTCAACACCTGTAAAATAATATAGGTACTTACCTCTATAGATTACTAGGAAGTATAATTACGGCATAAATAATTATTATATATGCTCCTGCATACATATTTATTAATAAAGGTTCATATTAAGGTCTTCGAACTCAGTTATCTTCGAAAATAAACTACTTCATAATTTTTATTATACCTAAATACAAATTAAGTATTTTCAAATGGATTGTTTTAATTAAGACGAATGTCTAGATAAGAAATGTTAGTAAACAGTTATTAAAATTAATAACCGTCATAACAAACCAGCGAAAAGTATATGAAAAAGGTTTTTGTACATACACAAGAGGAATGCATTCTATATTTGATAATATATTGTTTTTTTTTTCATTATTTGTAGGTGGAATGTTTTCTATTTGATTTAATTTTTGTTTGGTATTTTGTAAGTCTTTTTGTATCTTTTTTATCTATGTAGGTATAATATCTATGGTGCACCGGTCGGCATATAATAAGTACCTGATGCCAAATAAATATTTTTTCTCTTTCTTTTTAAACTTGGTACTTAACGTCTATGGTTTCGGTTGTAAGTTCCAATTCTGTTTCAATATTGATATAAAAATTGTACAAAAATTCTTGAAATTGGAATTAATCTGTTTTCTGGCTATTTTTTTTTTTCTTATTAGAATAATAATAAATTCTTTTTAATTTATGAAGAGGGTAGCCAGAAGATTAAAGTTGAAAATCTTTGATTAGAAAGAAAATCACATGACCTTTGTTTTTTTAACTAAAGGGATACAAGAAAGCATTTTATCACTATCCCTTTTTACGTAGGTTTTTTAACGTTTTTTAAACCTAATAATTTTTCATACTAATCCTATTATTGTACCTAATATTACAAGAAAACTACATGTATAAGAATTTAGAAAACAATAATAATCCTAACGACTCTGTCCCACACTATTCGTACATACAAGGAAATAGTTCAACAAATAAATAAACTGTTACTTATAAAAAACTAAATAGTTAACAGTTGTGTGTAGCAGTTGAGCCCCTTTAGGAGTTATCAGTTAAAGTTGATCCAGTCAGTTAAGTTCAGTGAGGTCATCTACCCCGCTCCCGTTCGCCATGACTTTTTTTTTCTTTTTTTTCTTGTGTTGGTCAAGAATTTGTTTTGGTAAGTTGGTAGGACCACATATTTATGGTTTGTTTTTTCTTTTTCTATTTGCTTGTTGATGTTAGTTTAATATTTCTGGTTTTAGTTTTTGTGTGTTTGACATTTTTGTCTATTTTTGTGTTAGAATGTGTAGTGTAGGGTAGTTCGTAAAAATGTTTTTATTTTTATTTTATAGAGATTTGAAATTGATTTGTAATTCAAATTATATTTAGAAGCTGTTAGAAAATATTTGTTTCAAAATATAATAACTTAACTGGGTCAGAGTCTTGACTGTTTGTAAATAATATTTTTTTAAATTTATTGCAATTAGGAAAATTCGATCATTTATTTTATACATTAATGCCATTTTGAAATGTAATAGCTACAAAAATATTTTTCATCATTTAAAAAAGCTATTGTGGATATAGGCTGAAAATTTCGCGCTGTTATTCAAAGCCTCTTTAGCTCAGTGGTAGAGCACTGGTCTCGTAAACCAGGGGTCGTGAGTTCAAACCTCACAGGAGGCAATATTTCTATTAGTTTTACTTCCGCTTTTAACATTTTTGTGTCTATTTTTAAATATTTTCTATACATTTCTTTTAAATAGGTTATGTAATTATATGAATTTTAAATTATTGTGACGTGTAATTTAATTGTAGAAACAATGTGCTATTTAAGTATTTTTTGTAACCAATGAAGGTTAGAGAATATTTTGGATAAACAATCAAAAACAAAAAAGACAACGAAGAAATATTTTTAAAAACAAAAGTTTCATCCGATATACAACCTAATTTTTATTTTGTTTTGTTACAGAACCTGGCCTTTTTCGTCTACAGAAATTCAAATTCGGAATGACATAGAACACCGCGGTTCCATATTCGAAAAATTTAGACCACGAATATTTTTTAATAGTTCATTCGACCTTTGTGCAAAAAAGTTTTTAGTCGATTGGAAAAAGGTTGTAAAATTTTCGAAAATGCTTCGTTACTGGTTGTGTTTTGCAAGTGCAGTGTGTTTGGCGGGGCATTGTGGGGCTAATTATTGTAGGGACGCTAACCTGTGCTGTCCGGGGCGTGATAGTTCGTGTGTGATACAGAAGGCTCACCAAAACGCCATAATTGAAGACTTGACTGACAAGCCGTGTTACTGCGACCACGCCTGTTTGAAACTCGGTGACTGCTGTCCTGATTTCCGAGAAACTTGTGGAGGTAAGTTCTGTTCTACATAAAATTATCTGAATAGTCTAGACTATCATTGAATTTTTTTTAGTAATAAGTACAAATTTAAAATTATTTTTAATAATATAATAATAATATTGTCCTAATAATAACCTAAAAACGAAAAATTGAATACTTATAAGTACAGAACATTTGTATTTGGATTGTTACACAGTAGATACCTAATATTCAATTCCTGAGTGACAATTTAGCTTAAAGGTAAGTTTATTGGCATCGTGGCCGCGTAAAATAAGTTGCCACCAACCTAATTAGTGGTAAAAGAACAATGACGATATAATATCCTCTTTGTAAAAAAACTACATAGTTGCAAAAAAAAATACTCCAAGTAAGTTGAGACTATGTAGACTACTAAAAAACTATGGAAAGAATATCCAATCAAGAAAAGAGTGCATGTCTACTTAAAAAGCCAGCAACCAGTTTATTACTTCTCTGGTGTTATCGATGTCCATGAGCGACTCTGATCACTTACCATCACCTTATCTGTTCGCTCATTTGCTTCCTTTTCCATCAAAAATACACTTTCGACATCGTCATCGTCATCAGCCTATAAGTGCCCACTGCTGAGCAAAGGCCTCTTCTCTAAAAATACACTTTATGCTTTATTATTTATATTTAAACCTGATTTTTACATTTAAAAAAAAAGAAAGCCACTTAAAAATATAAAAAGCAGTATCCCACCGGTTACGGGAGGGTTCCAAGCAACCTGTGGTCAGGGCTCTAGAGAAAGGAATCTCCAGTGTCTAGAAGTACAGCTTTCTGGATCTTGACCCAACCATCTGACGTAAGCCTGCTTAAGTGTTTATCAAGGCTTTTAGCCATGAGGCCATTGGCAGAAACGACTATCGACACAATTATTGCTTAGTCTACATCCCACATGTCGACAATCTCCCTGAAAATTATCTACTAAAATAATTACAAAAGTAGATACAAACTAAATAATGAATTACTTAATAAATAAACAAGATTAAAACATTATAATTAACAGACAACAATATTAATTATCTTTTAATAAAGTAAGATTACGATCTGTGATATGAAAACTTAAGTACTTTTTGCTATCATGTTATACATATATTATTATCCGACTTATTAATAAATTATTTCATAAGAAGTATATGAGTAATTAAAAGGTACATTATTATTTAGGTATTTTATTATTACTTAATCAGAATCGGGAGGAAACTGAAAATAAAACTGCATTAGAAAGTTATTTTCACATCGGGGGTTATTTTGTAATTAGAAAATCATCAAATGACTCGAGTAGGGGAGGGTCAGACTCTTACCGACTAAAATACCCTCGTTCCTTCTCCCGTTCTAGGTAGAGGCCGCAGATCCTAAGTAACATTTAAGTGTTCGGCACGAATGGGTCGGCTCGACCGGAGTGATACCACGGCCTCACAGAATACCGGCGTGAAACAACCCACAGCGGTGTGTTTCGCCGTGTGAGCGAGGTTACCGGAGGCCCAATCCCTCCCACTCCCCTATCCCTTCCCGATCCTTATATCCTCAACCTCTATCCCCAAAAGGCCGTCAACGCACTCGTAACTCCTTTGGTGTTGCGGGTGTCCATGGGCGGCGCCGATTGCTTACCATCAGGTAATGGTAATCTGTCTGCTCGTTTGCCGACTTATACCATAAAAAAAGTGACTCATTGCGCTTACCCCGCAACCCCGGGTTTTAAGTGCTAGCGTTAATATGGTACATATTTACGTGGACTTAGCATCTTAATAGCAGCTTAATAACTCTTTAGTAATTAATTCTGTACCGTGGTCCTGGCTTGTAGGATGAGAAGATGTGGTTTTTAGTCAGTAAGCGCCAGAAACTCCTACTCGCCCCACCCAAAACGGCGCAAAAAGTCATCTGACAATTTTGATTTTGTAAACTCAAATAAAACTGGTTATACACATAACACTATTGGCGATTTGCACACATCCATTGACAAAAGACGACGTTTCTTTCTAAGTACCTACATATCGGAACTAGAATATCTAATTATAAATAGTTAAGCGGATAGCTTAATACATTAATTACAAACTGTTCTATATTTACATATAATTACAAAGTTGTAAAAGTTGTGTGGGTATAATTGGATTAAAACCAATTTAGTTAGTTGATGTCTGAGTTCGCTAAGTAATATAATAATTACTCTTTTAGGTTATTTCTCTTGTGTTTATGTTTAGTTACTACATGGTAAACTTTATGGTACATATTTATTGGAAAATCAGGTTCAAATTAACCTTGGCAATGTTGCCGTATTCTCTTTTTCGTAGAAAGTTTTTACCGGATTGAAGAAAAAAGATTGGTAACTATACTAACTTTTAAACTTTCGCGTTTTATATTTACACATCTATACTATCTATACTAATATTATAAAGAGGTGAAATTTGTTAGTTTGTAAGTTTGTATGTAGGGAGTAATCTTTGGAACCGCTGGTCGGATTGCCAAAATTCTTGCACAGATCGATAGCTACTATGTTCCTAAGTGCTATAGGCTATAAAACATCACGCTACGATCGAATGGAGTAGCTAGTATTATTATAAACGCGGGTATTATATTTATAAATACGTTGGTAGGCTTAACGTTGACTTGAAACGTCATTAACGTAGGGACTTACATATATGTTGTAAAGAACATTGATATTACTTTAACCGTCTTCTTCTATAAATTTATTCCTTACCCCCTCGCCCCCCCATTGATCTCCAAATCCTTACAAAATCCTTACCAATAAACCAGGGCGGTCAAATATTAAAAAAAATCTTAACAACGGTTTTTATTTACGAACAATGCGTTTTTGTTCCATTGAATAAAACTTCGGTACTTTTACACCATAGTAAATAGTATCTTTCTTTCTTTTATGTCATTCATTGATATAGACCGAGCCCATACCAAAACGACCAAGATAAATCAATTTAACCTAAAACCCAAAGAACTGTGGACGGCAATGGAATTAATAATTGAAATGAAAAAGGTGAATTCAAACACGAAACACGTTTCCGTAGAAGCAAATTAAATAAATAAACACAGAAGCAAACATTACAGAAATGTTGGAAACCTTTTTCATAACAATATATTTAATTCAAACCGCAAACCACGAATTTGTCGAAATGGTACCTGGGAACCTACCTACGTTAAAACAGACAAACAGGTACGTTTCAACAATTGGAACGCAAAAATACGTTTTAAGCCCCCGCAAGCCTATTAAATCCTCTTTTTAATCCCTTCCATCCCCTTATTCGATTCCAATTAACTGAAACACCACGAATGATTAATTTTTAATCTCGACGCTATACGCGGGGTTCGGGAAATATAAAAAATATGCTGCCAAAGAAAATTGTATTAGGTATTCGTCCGTTAGAATTATGATGTTGCATTACGTAAATGAATTTTCTTTTCTCCCATAAAAAAGTGAGGAACCTCTAACGTTTTTCTTGTAAGTAAATTGATAATGACTAAGCATTTTTTTTAACACGAGTCTTGCTTATTCATTATAAAGTTGTAATTATTGTTTGGTGTTAATGTTCAAAGGATTTGCAAGTTAATAAACCCATTCTTTCTTTGCAAAAGATAGCTGGTAGATGGCTTTACACATTAAGTTGATGCTACATTTTAACGAAGAAAAAAAATTGACTGTAAACAGATTGAAAAAAAGGTGTTCGAAAACATGAACTAGGTAATGATAATTGTGAAAAAAAAAACTCGAAAAAAAAAATACGCGTCGAATTGAGAACCTCCTCCTTTTTTGAAGTCGGTTAATAATTGGGACAAGATTTTTTCAAATAAAAACATCTACATAATTCTCGACACAAGCAATGAGTATATCTATCGCAGCGGCTCAGATCGTCTGGTGCGATCATCCGATGTAATTTTTGTAATAACAAAAAAGGTTTGCGTGTCTAAATTAATCATAGGCTTCGCTGTAATTATATTTAGGCATTACAAAGCTAAAAATGTAATGGGAAAAACAGTAATATCTGTTTTATGTGACCAGGTGTTCGTAATTGTGGGTATATAGTAAAAACACAGAAAAAATGGTCGTAAAATTTAGGCATTTATTAGTGGACATTCCTCTTATGTGGCTCTGTTTAGGATTAAACGTAATGTATATTTTTAAGGCGAAATAAACAATTCGTAAATTGAAGTTCAAGTTCTTTATCGCATCCTTCAATGCAGGTACAATCTATTTTTTTCAATAAGGATTTTGTTTATTTTTTTTTAATTTTATGAATAAGACAGAGGTCTTGTATGAAAACAGATGTACACATCAGTCACCGTATGCAAACAATATTATCCGAATACCAATAGTTTCATTAAAACAATAAATAATATTGTCTTGTAATAAAACGAATGTATCCAGCGACTTCGTTCGCCGTACTAAAGTAAAAAGTAGCCTATGTATTATTCTAGACTATAATCTATCTCTGTACCAAATTTCATTTAGATCCGTTAAGCAGTTTTTTAGTAAAAGAGTACCAAACATTAATACTTACAAAATTGCGTTGATAAATAGTATAGGAGTTATACTCAACAATAGCTATGCTCAATCCCTATAACCACTTCTTTACTTTGCGGGCTGATAGTGAAAATTGCCAGCTGTTACTGGAAATGTTTCACTTATAATATTTAATATTATTATTTTAAGCTATCCAATACTGCCTTGAGTGCCTTATTGCTTGTTAAATAGTGCTAAACCCGCAGCAGTTCAAAAATATTTAGTGATTACCCTCTTCAAAAAAAGACACAGTAAAAAATAGAATAGGTCTAAGAATTGACCTTATTACTTACATAAGTAATTCTTTCACAGCATCAATAAACATACACCCCTCCCCCTTTTTCCCTTTTTTGATATATAAATACAAACACCACACATCAACCACATACACATTTGTTCATATTAAAAAAAAACACGACGTTATTCTGAGCCGAAAGCTCACAGCTAAATATGGCAAACACAGACGGTATTTTTTATTCTG